GTAGACGGTGGAGACCGGCGTGACCCGGTGGTGCTGGTGGGAGCCCAGGAGGCCGCACAGGCCGCAGATGAGCTCCTGGTCCTTCTCGCAGAAGAGGCTGAGCGGGTTTCGGTGATGCGCGCAGACCTTGGGCTCCAGGTCCCCGGGGAGCTGCAGGGCCTCGATCACGCGGGCCAGGGAGACGTTGGGCGGGGAGCTGCTGCCGTCCACCGCCTGCCGGCACACGGGGCAGCGCAGCTCGGCGTCCAGGTGGCTCGACAGGGAGACCAGGCAGGCCTTGCAGTAGGAGTGGCCACACTGCAGCATCAGGGGCTCCTTGAAGACCTCCAGGCAGATGGGACACTGCAGCCGGTCCTCCAGCTCGGGCACGCTCACCTGCCAAGCCATCCACGTTGCACGGGCTGAAACACAGGCGGCCACCCTCGATCCTGTCCCTCTGCCCAGCACCCGCCTACTGCCCCCAGCACCAAGGGCTGCCAGAATTTCAGAGGACAGGGTGCTAGTCCTGGATTCCAGTCCTAACCCACCATGACCTTGGGCCCAGTTTCCCCAACTGTGAAACAGAGAGCTTCCGTGAAAAAACAGTTCCTTGAAGAGACATTATTTTACATTATTTACCCAAATTTGGAGACAGAGATAAAAGTAGCTATCTGAGCCGGGCTCGGTGGCTCAGCCTGTAATCCTGCGCTTTGGGAGGCTGAGGTGAGTGGATTGCCTGAGCCCGCGGGTTCGAGACCCGCCTGGGCAACTTGGCGAGACCTCACCTCTACAATAAATCAAAAAATGAGCCGGGCGTGGTAGCGTGAGCCTGTAAATCCGGCTACTCGGAAGGCTGAGGCGGAAGGATCGCCAGAGCTCAGCAGGTTGAGGCTGCGGTGGCCAGGAGCGGCCACTGCACTCCAGTCTGGGCGACAGAGTGAGACTCCAAGTCAGAAAAAAAAAAAGCAGCCATCTGCTATCATCGGGAGTGATACTAATCTTGCAAGTTCCAGCCCCCACAGGCATCTGGACCTAGAACTGGACAACAAAAGCAAGCAAAGCTCCTTCCCACCTTCTAGATCAGCTCTCAAACTTTCAAGCAGCTGTGGAAAGCAGAGTTGTAATAAGAGATTCCAGAGCCTCACTAGGGAAGATGCTGCTTCGAGGGTTCCCCAATAAGACCCAGAAATCTACATATGCGGTAGACACCACAGGGTACTTGCAGAGGGTCTGGGACCTAGAAGCGATTTATCCTCATCTTCCACCTGCTCCCCTCTGAAAACTGGTTGTCCGTGAGATAGGAGAAGCCTCGTGGCTGAAGTCAGCCCAGCCCCAGGGAAAACCCCAACACTGGACTACCTGGTTTTTCAGGATCCTCTGGGCCTCCTACTAGGGCCTCAAGACAGCACCACCGACCAGATCACACGGCCTTTTCTTCTTCCCAGAAGGGAACAACAGGCTCAGAGACCTGGGAAGTGTAGCTGGATAGCTGCTGCACTGCCTGGTCTCTGTTCCTTCTCTCCTCCCCTTTCCCAGAAACACCCTGTGTCCCCAAGGTCACCCAGAATCAGGTGGAAACTGGGTCCCATCACGGGACTGGGGAGGTGGCCTTTAACGTGCTCTGATAACCGCAACAGTCAGGCGCTGGCCTTGGCCACGATGGGGGAGGGCAGAGACAGAGGGTCTGGGCACACTGCCCGTACTTTACCGACCCCAAACAGGAGCGACAGATGCTGTGAAACAGTTCTTTCTGAATCAATCTCTCTCTCTTTACAAAGTCGAAAGTATTTTTATTTACTTAGATTTTAAAGTGGAGGCATAACACAAAGTACACACATCTGAACCATACAGTTGGATAAGCATTTTATTAAGTACATATACTCGCTCTCAAGATCAAGATGTAGCATGTTTCTAACACCCAGAAAGCTCCCTCTTGCAAACTCCCAATCAGACGCCCCAACGAGGAAAACCACTATCTTGAATCATATGATCATGACATCATCACGTGGCCTGTGTTTGAACGTCACATCAACAGCATCACATAGAACGCACTCCTTTGTGTCTGGCTCCTTTCACTCGACGATATTGAATTATGAGCTTGTTTATGTGATCTTTCAATGTTTAGAAATTCAGTGACATGCTGTTACACAGCTAATGAGTATTAGGGTCACAACATATTGCTGTGGTTTGAATGTGTCCCCCAAATTTCAGGTATTGAGAACCTAATCTCCAGTGCAGCAGTATTCAAAGCCGGGGCCTTGAGGTGGTGACTGGATTGTGAGGGCTCTGCCCTCACGAGTGGATTACTCCATCCAAGGATCAATGGACTGATGGGTTATCATGGGAGTAAAACTGGTGGCTTTATAAGAGGAGAGAGAGAGACCTGAGCCAACATGTTCAGCCCCCTCTCCATGGCATGCCCTGTGTCACCTCAGGACTCTTTTTTTTTTTTTTTGAGTTGGAGTCTCACTCTGTCGCCCAGACTGGAGTGCAATGGCACGCTCCCGTCCACTGCAGCCTCGACCCGCTGGGCTCCGGCTATCCTTCCGCCTCAGCCTTCCAAGTAGCTGGAACTACAGGCGCGCGCTACCATGCCCAGCTAATTTTTTTTTGATTTTATTGTAGAGATGAGGTCTCACCAAGTTGCCCAGGTGGGTCTCGAACCCGCGGGCTCAGGCAATCCACTCACCTCAGCCTCCCAAAGTGCTGGGATTATAGGCTGAGCCACCCAGCCCGGCTTCAGAACTCTTCAGAGAGACCCCACCAGCAAAAAGCTCTCACCAGATGTGGCCCCCTCAACCTTGGACTTCTCAGCCTTCAAAACTGTAAGAAATAAATACCTTTTCCCTATAAATTACCCAGTTTCAAATATTCTGTTATAAGCAACAGAAACCAAACTAAGACATATGCTATATACCGTATTTTTTTATTTTTTAATTTATTTTTATTTTTAATTTTTTTTGAGTTGGAGTCTCACTCTGTCGCCTTGACTAGAGATGAGGTCTCGCCAAGTTGCCCAGGTGGGCCTCGAACCCGTGGGCTCAGGCAATCCACTCACCTCAGCCTCCCAAAGTGCAGGATTACAGACTGAGCCACTGAGCCCGGCTTTTTTATTTTTTATTTTTTGAGTGAGTCTCACTCTGTCGCCCAGGCTGGAGTGCAGTGGCATGCTCATGGCCACCACAGCCTCGACCTATTGGGCTCAGGTGATCCTTCCGCCTCAACCTTCCAAGTAGCTGGAACTACAGGTATGTGCCACCGTGCCCGGCTGATTTTTTAATTTATTGTAGAGACAAGGTCTCACCAAGTTACCCAGGCTGGTCTTGAACCTGTGGGCTCAGGCAATCCTCTCACCTCAGCCCCCCAAAGTGCTGGGATTATAGGCGTGAGCCATCATGCCTGGCCTTATATACTCTATATTACAGATGTGTGGTGGGGAATTATTGATGAAAAAAGACAAATGTGGGAGCGGGTTCTGAGGAATGTTTGGAAACAGAGAGTTCTAGAACAACAGAGCATGATCTCAATAGGCCTACGCACCCAGGGCTGCCAGTGGGGTGAGGTCTCTACTCCAGTGACAAGCAAGGCCAAGGTTTGCTATAGGAAGGCAGAAAACAAATTTTACTTGTTCATTCCACAAACATTTATTGAGAATCTGCTATATGTCAAGCATTAAACTGGGTATTACAGATACAGTAGAGAAAAAGACAAAGTCCCTGTCCTATTGGAGTTTATAATATGGTGGAGTAGGTAGTATTAGGTCATAAATAAACATATAATAGTGCTAAATGCCACTCAGGAAGTAAATATGTGATGAGAAAGAAAGGAACAGGGTGGTAGTTGTGTGAAGTACCTCTTTAGAAAGAGGCAGGGCAAGCCGGGCTCGGTGGCTCAGCCTGTAACCCCGTGCCTTTGGGAGGCTGAGGTGAGTGGATTGCCTGAGCCCGCGGGTTCGAGACCCGCCTGGGCAACTTGGCGAGACCTCATCTCTACAATAAATCAAAAACTAGCCGGGCGTGGTAGCGCGTGCCTGTAGTTCCAGCTACTCGGAAGGCTGAGGCGGAAGGATCGCCGGAGCCCAGCAGGTGGAGGCTGCGGTGGCCGGGAGCGGCCATTGCACTCCAGTCTGGGCAACAGAGTGAGACTCCGACTCAAAAAAACAAAAAATAAATAAATAAAAAGAAGGGGGGAAAGGGAGGACGGGGGGGGGATGAAGGGGAGAGGAGGCAAGGAAGACAAGGAAGAAAGAAAAAAGAAAGGGAAATGTCTTCGATGAGGACAGTTGAGCGGATTTTTTTTTTTTGAGTCGGAATCTCACTGTCACCCTGGCTGGAGTGCAGTGGCACACTCGTGGCCATCGCAGCCTCGACCTACTGGGCTCAAGCAATCCTTCTGCCTCAGCCTTCCAAGTAGCTGGAATCTCAGGCATGTGCCACCGTGCCCGGCGAATTTTTTAATTTATTGTAGACATGAGGTCTGGCCAAGTTGCCCAGGCTGGTCTTGAATCCCTGGACTCAGGCAGTCCTCTCACATCCGCCTCCCAAAGTGGTGGGATTACAGGCGTGAGTCACTGCACTGGCCCAAGCTGACATTTTTTTTTTTTTTTTTTTTGAGTTGG